AAAAAAAAAAAAAAAAAAAAAAAAGAAAGCAGACTGAGAAAGCCATGGAGAATATGCCAGTAGGCAGCACTCTTCTATGGCCTGTGCATTAGTTCCTGCCTCCCAAGTTCTTGCTTTGAGTTCCTGCCCTGACTTCACTGGATGATAAACTGTGAGCTGTAAAACAAAATAAAACTTTTTTCTCCAAGTTGATTTTGGTTATGATATTTTATCACAGCAATAGAAACTCTAAGACAACTAAGCACCTTGAGTGTCTATGGTTCAGATCCCAGACTGCAACACCAAAGAGGTGAGCTAGAAGGCAGTTCTCTAGCTCCTATCATGCTTTGAAGCACTCTGTTCTTGAAATACCGGCATTACTTAGAAGCATCCCTAACTCTGCAGAGGTGGAAGGCTTTGAAGGTCTGATCAGCACAGGAAGTACAGCTACTCTCCCCAAGGAAAATTCCATAGTAGAATATGGAAGCTGTGGATGCAGCTCTCCTTTTTTTTTTTTCCTTAGGTAAGCAGTTTGAAGATGAAATCTACTTGCCTACAAAGCATTCTGTGTAGCTGGAAGTTTCTCCAGTCCTGCCTGCCTCACAGTTGGGATGAATCTATCCCACCAGTGTCCCACAGCCACTTGGTCCCAAGTAAACACACAAAGGCTTATATTACTTACACACTGTATGGCCTGTGGGTCAGCTTATATTAGTTAGCTCTTTCAACTTAACTCAACCCATTCCTATTAATCTATATGTTGCCACGTGGCTGTGGCATTACCAGTCTGCTGGCATGTTGCTCCTTCGGTGTCAGGATGATATCTCCTTGACTCTGCCCTTCTTCCCTCTGTATCTCTGCTTGGATTTCCCACCTGGCTTTAATTTTTCTTGATATAGGCCAAAACAGCTTTATTTATCAACCAATCAGAGCAACATATATTCACAGCATACAGAAAGACATCCCACAGCAGTTCTTTTTAGCCATTGCTCTTTAGCTCTCTGTTGCCTTTATCTTCTTTTGTGACCTTGAGGGATTTACCCTTACCCCTGCTTCCCTAAGATTCAGATCTTTTCAAAGGTCTTTTAAAAACAGCAACTTTAGTTTTTTGTGAATGGATGTTTTGCCTGCACGCATGTCTGCATGCCACATTGTCATGCCTAATGCTCAAGGAGGCTAGAAGAAAGTATTGGATCCCCTGGAACTATAGTGACAGATGGTTGTGGTCTGCCATGTGGGTGTTGGGAATCAAACCTGGGTCCTCTAGAAGAGCATCTAGTGCTCTTAACTCCTGAGCCATCTCTCCAGCCAGCACCACCCACTTCAAACATTTTGGCAGAGGAAGTTTTGTTTCAGCTTTATTTTCTAAGAAACTCAGGGCATGAGTATTACCATTACTTGAAAAGACACTGTGCAGAAGGGGCAGGGGAAGGGTTGGACTGCTATTATTTTTAGATTAGCTTTGTAATAGTGTTATTTCTCACTACCCTGGTGTAGAGAAATATTTCAAAGGGGGTCAAAGTTCCTAATTAAAAGTCTTGTCAGTTTTATCACAAGAAGCTTCAGAGTGTACAGTTCCTCTAACAAAGGAACTTTTAATTTCTGTGAGTAGTAGGGCTATATTTTGTGAAAGTAACCAGCATCTCATACAGTAGAGAGAAATAAAACCTTCTAGGAAGCAACAAAAAAAGAACAAAATGAGCACTGTTGGTGGATGGTTACACAGTAGGAAAACTACTTGGCCTTACAGTGTTTCCTCATCTTTCTTGTCTAGCTCTAACAAGGTAGGTAATTATAAGTAGGAAGCAAAAGATGTATATATTATGAAAAATATATTAAATATAAAGGTATAAATGTAATGTTTTGTTAATGGGTTTTACATTCTCTTATGTTGTTTAAGGGCTAATGGCTAAAGAGCAAACTTGAAAAAAAATTTTAAAAAATCACTTAAAGTACATATCTTACAAGCCTAAATTGTTTCAGTCATGTGTGCTGTGAAAACATGGAGAATTTTACATTATGCCCTTAGACAGTTATTGTTCACCAACAATTTAAATTGGGTAGTTTTTTTTCTTTTTTTGTTAAATTGTGCAGTTTTAACCTGAGTTCCTGTCATGACAGATTAGGATGTGTGTGCACCATATATCTGTGATGACTAAAGAAACTCCATTTTGTGCTAGACATCCATCTTGGTGTATAATTGCTATTTGTCTCTAACTCAAGTTTCTGGAAGATAAATTCCTAGCAACCTTGCTCTTTGACCCTCATCCAGACATGTACAGCTGTGACCATCTGCTTGTTATGATATGACTAACTGCTGATTTTGGCTCCTGTAACTTGCTTTTGCAGACATTCAAGGACTATTTTGATGTTACTTTGACCATCTAATCTTAGCAGAGTAGAACAGGTCTTGTGGATTTGCCTTTAAAAGTCCTTTCTTCATCAGCCTCTGGGTGCTTGTCTCTGATTTGGGCTAGAGATTGTGGCCCTGCTTGCAGCTTTAATAAATTTGCTTAATTATAATTTGAATAGAGTCTGGGAGTCTTTTCCTAGTGGTCTTGAACTCCATAACTTCCTCCCACCCCATACACAATACAGGCAGTATAGAATACACCTCCTGTTAGGTCAGTGTTTATCTACCAACTGTCCATATGCCATTTATGGGATGCTGTTTTTAGAGTAACTTTCTTGCATGTAGGCACAGAGTGTCCCCAAAGCCAGCCGCAAGTTGTGTAACAGATGTCCAAATTCCTCAAATCCCATTATCCCAACATTCCTGTGAGTGTGCACATTGGTTCTGAGTATGAGGATTTTTTTTCAGTAACTTTTGAGGGTTGGGATTCCTGGATGTATACAATAGTCTGGAGGTGTCAGTCAATAAACACCTCTATGCCATCCATTCCAGAAGCAGCAACTCTTGAGATTCTCAGGACTCTAGGTCCCATTTTCCATTAGTTATGTGATTTTAAAGTGCCTAAGAGTTTCTTGATGGGCCATGGTGGTGCACGCTTTTAATCCCAGCACTTGGGAGGCAGAGGCACAGGCAAAGGTAGGCAGATCTCTGAGATTGAAGCAAGCATGTCAAGGCCAGCATGGTCTACAGAGCAAGTTTCAGGACAGTCAGAGTTACACAGAGAAACCTTGTCTCATAAAAAACAAAAACAAAACCACAACCAACCAACAAACAAAAAGAGATTCTTTACACAAGTTCTGATTAAAACTTGCTCTGTCATCTTTCTTGTTTTCATTTCTTGCATTACCACCTTTGCTAGATAACTCATAATATGTGCTTTCTTGTCGAATCTATCATTATCCATTGGTCTAGGTCAGGAACATGCCTTCCTTTTAACATCTGTTCCTAATTCAAAACTAACTTTGGATTCTTCCATTGATGGACATTGAAGTCTTAACACTGCTAGATTTCACAAAGTGATACTGTCACCCAGAGTCACAAAAGTCATATATGGTACAAGGGACACATCATGTCCTCAGCTAATATTGAAACAGTATTATCAGCTAATATGTAACAAAGGTATCTATTGTTATGAGAACTTTAGAATGTCTGGGCCCTGGCAACCCTAGCAAGGGAGGCTTGACCAACTGTCTCCGGTGTGCCTATTGAAGTGATAAGTAATAGTGAAGAGAAGAAAAAGGAGATTATTCAATGTGGCCACCCTGGAAAAATAATAAGGGACTCCAGTAACCCCAAGTAAGGGTAAGGAAATCTATGAAACTAGACCTTTAGATAAAACCCCAGCTTTGGTAGCTTAAAGATGAGTCTTCCCCACCAGTCCAAATGTGCAAGAGCAGTGAGAAGCAGATAAAGGAGATTCAATGTAGCACACTGGGAAAAACAACAGACAGAAGGGTTCAGCATCTTTTGGATGAGTCTTCCATTCTCTTGGTATTCACATAGACTTTAGATGGAAATAGAAAAAATTGGTAGGGAGGATGGGGAAGGGGTCTACATAGCTACATTTCATGGTCACGGTGTGTGGGCTGAATGACCATTGCTCTAGTTCTGGCTCTGTGAGATGCTGAAGTCCTTACTGCCTGAGGTGATCTATCTGGTTCCCATGGCATGATGACTCTTGTAAGGTGTAGCTTTATCAGCACAGATGTTTGTCTCCATCTGGAGCATGGTCTGCCCTGTTTGGCTTTGTTGTTTCTAGAACTCAAACTGTCTACAGATTTAGGCCAATGACCTCCTGCCTTGAAGGGGAATGGAATGAGATGGCTTAGATCTCACTGGTTTGTAGATGGGCACTCCTTGAATGACAACAATGCCTATGCAGAGTCAAGTAGGATAGCCATTATAAAGGTGATAGATGTAAAATGAAGGCAAAAATGCCCAACTTTCATCCTGTTTTTAGTTGTTTTGTAGGTCCAAGTGAAGAGCCCATGGTTTCTAGCAAAAGTTGTTTTTAAGTGCCTATAGTACTAGTAGAAAAATTTGGTTTATCAGCTAAATCACCTTGGGAAGCTAGTTAAGCATGCTTCTCTTCCAATTCTGTATCTGAAAAGTGTAGATAATAATTCTGCCTAACTAATAATATTGTGAGGATTAAATAAACCAATTATGTAAAATACTCAGAAGAGTGTCTAATTCAGAGTAAGTGCACTGTGTGTATGTTTGTACATGTATGCCCCTCTTTGTGTACAAATAAGTGTTACTACAGACTTTACTCCCTGTCAATTTCTTCTGAGAATAATAGAGTACCTCCTTTTATATTGCTTCATAGTTTTTTGCACTCAGATTTTTTTTTCAAAATTTTATCCACTGGTCTGGTAATTTTTCCTGTTTCTCACCTTTGCCCTTTTTATAAGTAGTTGCCAAATACAGATTATTGTTAGTAGTAAGTCCTGCTACTTCATTGTGAGTAACTAAACTGGGTACATGTAGACATCTCTGGGGCTGAAAAGTAATGACTGTGACATAAAAAAGTATATGTTATTGTCACCCCAATAGTGTTGATATTCTCTGTGTTCCACCAACTGATCATCTTCCCAGCCTAATTAATCCCTGGTAACCAATGCTCTTTGAATGCTCTATAGTTTGACATTTCCAGGATGTCATATAATTAGACA